TGTTATATTGGAAATTAATTTATTATATTTATAAATATTTATGTCGCAAAATTACACATACTTTTTTTCGTGACGAATTTACCTACTTTGTGACGAATGTACACAAGTACAACAAGCCGAAACAAGGACGTCTTTTCTTGAACACCTTGTTGATTGCGTTGATGGTTTAAGAAGTTGAGAACAAAGAGTACCTATAATAAGTATAGGGGAAGTTGACAACTCTTTGGGTGGAAACGTCATGTGTTACGTCACACTCAGAGTAATAATAATTATTTAAATAATAAGTATAGCGCCCACCTCAATGTATAGTATTTATAATAACTATAATATGATAGATAGCGCTACCTACCATTATCTATAACTTCATATGCTTTTGAAATTCTGAAAAGGTGTTGTGGATGTCAAGTATTCAGCAAGACAGACGCTTCGTGAAAGATTCTGGCTGCCAGGGCGACGTGAAACAAGATACGAGACTTGAAGCTGAAAGCGGAGAGTGAACTTCGTATGGAAGCTCCCGGGCCGATAGAGCCGATAGTGCCTGCTAGACCGCCCGCGCCTTCTCCTGTACAGCCGACAGTGGGACAATTGCTTTGTCAGACAAAAATCGTGCTTCCCATAATTATTATTGCTGTTGTTATTTTGACAATATTAGCGTTTGTTCAACTCGTTATGCTACAAATGCAAGTAAAGGTCACTCATGTCAGCCCGAGAAACTCGTAGGTACGGGCTCTGCCTGGGGAAGTGGCGAGTACAAGTAAGATTCCAATGTCCGTTTTCACCAATCTCTCTTAGATTTTAGGGAACCCCTAAGATCTAAGAGAGATTGGAGTCGCGGGTTCGATTCCCGCACGGAACAACACTTTGTGTGATCCACAAATTGTTGTTTCGGGTCTGGGTGTCAAGTATGTTCACTATGTTTGTAAACGCACCCACTATACAGGAGAAAATCCTAGTTTGCTGCAACGTTGAAAAAAGCCCCGAAATATTACAACCCCGGTGGGATTGTTTATTTTGTGAAATCACGAAAATGAATTCATTTCAGAATAGATATAACTTGGTTGCTGAATCAAATCTGACGGGATTTGTAACACAGTATTGGAATTAACCTTGAAAAAGGCTAAATTAAACCATAAAAATTCTGCCAGAAGTCGTTATAATACGCGGACGAAGTTGCAGGGAAAAGTTAGTAAATAATAAATAGGGAAGTAAGTACCTACACCTAATAGACGATAATTAGATGAAATATAAATTATTCAATCCGTTTGCTTATTTGTCTGCAAAAATCAATGCATATTGATTGGGAACATAGGCCATGTTCGGCTGTGGACATGTTGTAGCTATGATGATTATCATCAATGCATTTGATACATTTCTTTTTTTGAGGGGGAATATCATCCAATGACTTCTGCCGCCTTGGATGAAGTGGGATTGAGTGTCAGACGATACTAAGTAGAAACCAACCCGGTTCTACCCCCGCTTCAAGCTTCGAGCATGCGAATGCCTACTTATGTTGTATAATATGTAATTGTTGGTAGTTATTGAAATAGAGCGCGATTACGTAAAGCACTAGAATCAGTCGGGAAGCTGACTTCGGTGACACTTGAACTTTGGGCCGGGGGTGTCGGTGGCGCGGTGACGTGGGAGGCCTGCGCTGCGCGGCTGCGCGGTGCGCGAGCGGGTGCGCGCGGCGCGGGTCGATGCGGCGGCCTCGGCTCAGTCGGCCGCCAGCCGCCAGCGCCCAGCAGCGCACCGAGCGCAGCCCCGCTCGCCGCCGCGATCCGAGCCGCGACTGTCCGAGTGTTGCGATGAAGGTATAGAAGCCCCCCATCCGTAGCGCGGTAGTGTATGCCTTAGCTGTAAGTAGCGGCGCGCAAGGCTCGGTACGTGTAAGCTAGCGGCCGGGGAGCGCCGCGCCCTGCCACCACCTCGCCGCGCGCCTCTCCCCGACACAAAAGGGCTCCATTACCATGTATCCGACTCATATACACACATATCCTCGTCACTACACTTCATTTCAATACCTTTAATACGTATCTACTACTAATTAGATACAATCAAATTAATTATAAATTTACTACCTTGCACTAGTCCATTGGTCGTTTCAGCGCGACTACAGAAAATGGAGTCTCAGTCTCAGGTTCGGTCCCATTTCTTTCGAAACATCTCAGTATCCATAATATTTTGTTGTAAGAAGGTTCATGGAGGGGTAGATATGTGACGGTAGTTACCCTACAAATTTGAGATATTTAGTATTTCTCTTTGACACACCCAAAATCAATCATTTTGTAAAAAACTAGATTCATGTCCCTCCCTACCCTACACGAAGTAGATTCATGTTTGGTAAAAATCATTGTAACGCAATAATGGCATGGGTAACACAGTAAGTACATAGCCTTTATGTACTATGTTATACATTTATGTATAATATGTACTGCATAGATCTTTACGAGTATTTCATACAATCACGCCGCTATATACCTTACAACATTATTACGTATGGTTCAGGTTTCTTTGTCACAAGCACAACTGCGGAGTACCACTTTATACTTATAATGGCACATTTATATGTCATGGCAATTTCGTTTCCCCTTTTACTCAAAATACCTGGTAAAAAGAAGGCGTATCCTTTTTTCTATGCCTGTATGTACTAACGAATACTAGATACTATTGTAACTTATAAAACATAAAAACCTTTTTAAATGCTTTAAGTTGTCATTCAAAGCAATGTCGAGTTGTATAACAAAATGTAAGTTATGATTTATTTGTTTCAGCAACACCAAGCATCAATAACAAAATCGTATAATGCTAAAACTACCCAAAGGTCTTAAAAAGAAGAAAAAGGGGAAAAAATCGAAACGCAAAGGTGAAGAAGAGCTTTTTACTGAAGAAGAATTAGAAAAGTATAGAAGAGAGCATCAGCAACAATGTACTGACAGTGGTGAAGGTACTACCAAAGAAAATGAAGAGTGGTCTAAATTCAAAGACTTAACTACAGGCATAGATACGGTTTTAAAAAAAACACAAGGAGACCTAGACCGCATCAAATCGACTTCATTTTTTCAACGTATTCCTCCTAAACAGGCAGAACCTGAAAAAAAGGAATCGCCACCTAGACCAGTTGTTGAAGTAACCGAAGCAGACTTCCCACAGCTTATTCAAGCTCAAACAGAAGCTGACGAAGATCGAAGTGAGTACGGCGTAACAGACGACGAGTCCGAAGAAGAAGAGCAGGACGACATCTTCGATACCTCGTACGTCGAAGCTGTCGAACGTGGGGAAGTGAAACTCGGATACGTGCCTGACTCACCGGAAGAATTTCAGGATGACGACATCTTTGATACATCTCACGTCGATGCTTTAATAAAGGGACAAGAAGTCAAAACCTCTAAAGGAAAAAAGTCGTTAGACATCGGAATAGCTGTTGGTGTTCTTACTGGCAGAATAGACAATGTAACGGTTACTAGCAAACGATCTAAGAGAGTTATTCCTGGTGATTTATTATTAGATGCTACTGACACAAACGATGAGAGACCCACTGAAACAATAACTGTAGACGAACCCATTGAGAAAAGTATATTGGACCTCGATGCAGACATCCCTATAACGACACCCATAGACTTGAGCGTATCACTTCATACGTCTTTGATTCAACAAACGAAAGGTGACACAGAAAAGGCGCTTGTGAAAGACTTTTTTTCTGCTGATCAACCACCGACCGATGAAGAATTTGATGAGTTTACATTACTTGCAGCAAAATCACTTGAAGTCAACTCGGAAGTAACAAAATTAGGAGAAACTGAAATAAAGGCGGAACCCGTCTTACAAGAGTCATGGTCAGCCTTTGAAGCAGATAAGAATGAATTTGTGTTTGCAGAGAGTATCATTGAAGATCAGATAGATGTGCTTGATCCGTACTTAGATCAAGACGATCCGTTTGATACTAGTTTTGCGGACGCTGTAATACCTGTGAATCAGTTTCAAGCTAAGAAAGAAGCAGTAATTCTTGAGGACGACGACGATTTTGATCCACGCTCTGAAGAAGTTCGAGTAAAATTAAATAATAGGCGTAAATCTTCAGTGCGTATTCATTTAACTGATCCCTCAGGCATTCGAGAATCTATTACGTCTGACGATATTATTGACAAAGAAGATAATCATTCAGTCCGGGATTTGTTGGGAGGAAGTACTACAGATTTAACTCAGCTGGGAGACTCACCACTGGATCCAGTGGATATCAATAACTGTGAGATCGACCCATTTGATACTACAATTGTTGATAGCATTGTTGCTCCTGGTAAGGTAGAGTTAAAGCTTTTAGAACAAGAATTAATAACTTCAAATTCTTCTACAATATATAGAGTGCCAAGTGATCCCGATTTTGATCCTAGGGCGGACGAACCGAAAAAAGCAGAGCGTCGAGCTTCTCGTCCTGAGAACTTAACAGTTAGTAAGAGTGTTGTATTCAACGTTGACTCAGACGAAACGTTAGGTGTCGACACAAAAGTAAAGTCGAATAAACCGGTCACACCTTACTATACTCGGGAACTTTCAATCACTGAAGACGCCAGCGAAGAAGCGGAAGCAGCTGACAGTGTACCTGATTCGTTGACACGCACACGGTCTGACGAAGACTTGGCACCGAAAGTCAACTATCAAAATAAAAGAAGACATTCAGAATATTCTCGGACAAGTGACATAAAGGCTTGTGATCTATTACATGGTGCTCAGGTTGAAGTTAAAGCGAAAGTACTGACACCTTCGGAGCCACTTCAACCTGCGACGATAATTGATCCTTTCGATACTTCTTTTGCCAGCAATATCGTTCCTTGTAAAACTGAATTAAAACTTTTAGCCAAAGAGTTTTCTTGTGAAGAGACCGATAGCTCACAAGACAACAAGCACGATTTATTAGATCCATCTGACGACATATTTCAAGCAAAAGCTCTAACTCCAGAACCTTCAAGCTCTAAATTGATAGATACAAATTTCGACCCATTTGATACATCTTTTGCTGGTGACCTGAATCCAGGCAAGACAGAAATAAAACTTTTAGAATCAGAGTTTTTGGATAATTAATTAATTGTATTACTAAAAATGGCTTACAATCCATTCTTAAGTATGAACGAGCCAAGCGCTCCCGCCACTACGGATGTCCTTAATCCCTTTATGATTGCCGACACGGAACCCGAGGCAATTACTTGTGAAAATCCTTTCGCTACTAGTAATCCCTTTTCTGATTTCGGCAGCGAATACGAACCACCGGCAGGAGATACTGTACCTGTGGATATTTTTAGCGGTATAGAACCGACTGGCATTGGAGCGAAGCAATATGAAGAATTTCCTGAACAAAAATCTACACCACTGGATATATTCACAACCAGTCCAGTGGATCAAGACCGATTAGTCAAACCGACTGAACTCGATTTAGTGACTGCTACGCTCGACCATCCATTTTCAAACGAAGAAGAAGATCAAAGTCATCATTTGCCAGCTCGACCTTTGCCACCTGAAACACAAAATTTAATCTTAACTGTAACTGGTCAAATGGAATTTACAAGTTCACATCTGCTAGACCGCATCCCCCCTACACGCACTCCGAGCCCTGTGTCTGTGCGAGACATTCATTCACCTAGTCCCACGCCGGAGCCGGAGCATGTTGAAGAGCCACTAAGCGATAACTTCGATATCAATCGCAACAAACCGACCCGGCCACCGCCGGCCCGGCCGCCGCCAGCGACCCGCCCGCCACCACCGCGGCCTCAGCCGCCACGCCCGCCTCCGGCAGCACCGTTAACTCAACCAGCAGCACCACCACCCACGCAACATTCAGATGATATTAATCTATTCGATGCACCCATGCCTGCCTCTATCAAACCTACTAAGGAGGCTATTTTGAGCTTATACACGGCACCTAAAAAAGAAGAAAAACCCATAGATTTTTTAAGCGATGATTTATTAGACGACGTCACTGCTAATGTAAAATACGACATTTCACAACATCTTCCAGGAGAAGTAGCCACGTCTGTTGGTACTATTTCCGGGCCAACCAGTTTCGAACCAGAGGAGCTCAAATCAGTGAGTGTGACAGCAAGTAATGTGTTTTCAACAACAGTAGACTCCATAGCGGACACAGTGGCACCTATGGATTGTTCGGAGCCACAGATAGAGGACGCCACTGCGACTTGTAATACTTCTCCATTTGGGGACGTTTTGAAAGACGACTTCCAAGCGCAACCAGCTAGCATAGATGTTGAACGAAATCCTTTTGAGAATCCCATCGATTCAGTAGACGTGGGAGCCCAGTTACCCGAAGCTGTAGATATATTTGGCGTGACGCCAACTGATATTGTAATGACAAGTAGTAACGATATTTTTACTAACACTAAAGATAACATTTTTGAGATTTCATCCATAAATGGGACAGGTGAAGCCCCCAGTGATCCATTCAATTCGGCTCCAAAGGAAATTACAAATGCTGCTTCACACCCCTCTCAACCACTGGACAGACAGGCGGAAAGTGGTTTCGACGTTAGTGGTCTATCGCCTTCAGCCACTACTGATTGGGGTGCACCGACAGAAATAACTATGCAGGACGCTTTTCCCAGTAGTCAAGATGCGTTTGACGCATTTTCAGCGAAGTTTGACGCCACTGCAGCTAATAACTTGAATTCGGGTGAGTAGCTGAGTAGCAATGTGACAGTGACTTGGCCAGCAGTTTGCATAACAAGAATGTCATACAGGAGCTTGGGGTGACGACAGCAGCGCGGAGATGGCGCCGAGCGGGTTCGAAGCGGAGGCCTTCGACCCATTCCTCAGCATGGGGGCGCCGCCACCGCCCGCCGCCACGCCGCGCCTCGACCACCAGCCCTCTCGTGACTCGGTGGACGATACCTTCTCTGTCTTCATCAGGTTAGTCATTGAACCAATTTTTTTCAGATTGGCAATTAGCCTAGCACACATACACATTTATCCCATACATAAAAACGAAGATTGAGACAGAAAGCTGTTTGTATTAAGTCAATGTTCAGTAGCGGCGTTAGGGTACGGCAAAGTTGGGCGACCGCCCAGAGGCGATGCGCTGCAGGCTGCTGGCCGCGGCGTCTTTTCGTCTGGCGCCTCTTTCTGATTCTGTATAATTTCCCACAGACGCCCCTCGAAGTTCCTTCGTTCATTTTTTTAACTTTCTCTAGGAACTATGTAGGAACATAGATTTCAGTTTCAGCAGGGAAAGAAGATTTCCAAGCTGAAGCTGATTAAAACATTCTATGCCATTGATAGTCTCTCAATCTTGATTAACAATTAACAAACCCAGCAATTAGTTCAGTAATTAAGTAGTTTTGTTTGGAATGGTGTTGAAAATAGGGAATTTTGTAGATTTTGATGTGCTCATTCCGATTTCTATTTTACAACATCGTACGTGGGCCACTCGCACCCCTATTTTGGAACAATTGCAGTTAAAAACAGTTTTCCTGTGTATTTTACGAGAAAAACGTTCACTGCAAAGTTAAACTAGACACATTTCCATTTTGCTACGTTGCACAGGTTGCAAAATGTAAATCGGAAAGAACATATCAAATCTACAATTTTCAACAATCCCGGCAAGCATTCCAACTTTATGGAATTAGATACATAAGGCATTAGAATGGCAATAGGTCGAACCAAACTTTGTTTTTTGAAAATGAAATTGCATAAAACATAAACTTTGAATGTCCTAATAAAAGAGTACGCGAATAAAACGACTAGATAAGAAAAAAAAAACGAGATATTTTAAATTAAATTTATTGTTTTTTTCATAGACGGTTATTTTCGCCTATTGTCGTTACCTTAACCATTAGGTACCCATTGTTTTTTTCCCGTATGTAGAGGTAATTGAATTGCAGGTAGGGGGCGCAGAATATATCATGGCCAGGGCGCTAGTAGTGCTAAATCCGGCACTGTGTAATTATACAACTGTAGTATACAGAGTCACTTGTTTACCATAATCTCGTATGGGGTTTATATACGGAAACGAACCGTTAATAAAACATTTCGCTTTTAGTATTAATTTCAATATGACCTAAAACTGAACACACTTCGTGGTACTATAATTTTGACTCAACTCGTAGATAAATTAGGAGGGTTTGCTTGTAATTCCTGTCAGCATTTTTCATCTCTTTCATTTATTTTAAGTATAGCTACTAAAATAAAATAAAAAGCATAACCAGCCGACGAATAAACCATGTCTGCCTGCTGGCGATATTGTATGATTGTATCATCAGTTCACCAAATACCGGTGGTAGTAATAAGTAAGATGTACGATGTACGCGGCAGGCCGAAGGACAGCGAGGCGGGCGGCGGGGCGGAGGGCGCCGGCGCCGTGCCGGTGCTGGCGCCGCCGCCGCGCCCGCAGGCGCTGCCCGAGTCACCGCGCGCCAACCCCTTCGACAAGAGTGGTTTCGAAGATCGCCGAGACCCAGTTTACGGTACGAATCTATCACCAGCTGTTCTATTCTTCGTAACAAGCACGAGACATCTCACTATAGGAATATTGACTATAAAATATTAAGTTTAGGTATACAAATTTACTACCTAGGTAGGCCTAAAAACATTATTAGGTATGCTAGTAACTCCCTTGAGTAATATATATATAACTGCTCATATAACTGTTGGACCAGGAACTCAAATAGTTACGAGCCACGCTAGGGGCTCCCATTCATGAGCAGCATTGCGCGACACGGCAACACAGTCGCGACGCGAAGTACCTCGCGCAGTCACCTTTAATTTTTGGGATTTTTTGGGATAAGCCGGTAAACGAGTAACCGGATCCCTGATGATAAGCAATCGGCGTTGCCCATAGACACCTGGAACACCAGAGGCGTTGCGTAAGAAGTGTGTTACACCGGCCTTTTGAGGACTGGATTAAGAATTTGGGGATTGTAGGTTTCTGGGACTACGGTAACTTCACTCCCACGACGAAACGCAACACAAGCGTTGTTTCACGTCGGCTATCTGTGAGCCCGAGGTCAGTATCACTCCGGTCGAGCCGGTCCATTCATGCCGAAGCATGGCTCTCTCACACTTCATATCACATCGTCAGCCTATAAGTGGCTAGGTCTACTGTTCACCAAAGACATCTTCTCACACGGAGAAGAAATGAGCATTCATCGCCACGCTTGTTCAAATGTTCAATACGGGTTGGCAATTTCAAATTTATAATTAGAAATTATAAGCCCAGGTTTCCTCACGATGTTTTCCTTCACCGTTTGCCAGTGGTGTCTAAATAATTTTACGAAGTTCCTACATATAACTCGGAAAAAGTCACATTGGTACTTGTCGTTGGTAGGTTTCGAAACCGCACTCTAGTGCAGGGCTGTGCAAACTATATACCCTCGCGAGCTAATTAAATTTCTTACAAATCTCGAAGGCCAGAGAAATATCTTCAGTTGTATAATTTACAAATAAGCTGGAGTACATATACATATAATATAACAGGTAGGGCTATGTATTGTGTTTGCAGAGCGAGGTGAGGGCGATGCGGGCAGCGAGGGGGAGGGCGAGGGCCCGCCCACGCCACTGTTTGACGAGGACGTGTCGCAGCCGCTGGAGGACTTCCCGCGCACCAAGTATTCGGGCCCCGGCTGGGAGATGCATTTGCGACAGCCCAATAAAAAGAAAATTACAGGACAGAGGTGAGCGCCTCGTACATATACAATGGTGGTTATTACAGAAATATCTGGAATCTATCGCTTTAATCGACTTCTGGGTCCTTGGACAACCTTGGTCCACACGCTTGGCAAACATTAAACAACTGCAAATTAAACACAAACGTGTGGATGGGTGTTTATATGTGTGTGTGCGCCTGTTCTTGTGTTCGCTACCGTCCGATGCCAGCCAAACAGTGGCGAACACAAACGCAGATTGAAGGCTGTTCGGCGAACAGTTTGCAATGCGCGGAGGAGTCACGCGAGTAAGTGACTAGTGAGGCGGCTACCAGACTGCTCCCATTGTAAATTATTTATGTACTTATGTATATGTAGTAAGGTTCACAGCGCCGAGCACTGGGCGCTGCTGGCGTACAGGTGGTCGGTGCAGTTTGCTAAGAAGAAGGTGCTTCAATACAACAACTAGCATTCATCAGATAACCACCTCGAACGACTCTCGGATCCCATTTACAGTGAAATGTAGTATTATGATGTTGTGAGGGATGGTGCATTGCGGTGCAGGTTCTGGAAGAAGATCTTCGTCCGCGTGGCGCTGGTGGGCGACAACCCGGTGGTGCAGCTGTACAACGCCGCGACGGACAAGGAACCCTTCCAGGAGTTGCCGCTGCAGGCCTGCTACTCCGTGTCTGACATCGGCGCGCAGCAGTTCGACCAGTTCGGCAAGATCTTTACTGTCAAGTTGCAGTACGTCTTCTATAAAGAGAGACCTGGCGTCAGGTACCTACCTGTTGTCTTTGTTATTTTTATCTTTTCTGTTACTTACTGCTCATACCGAAGTCATGCTTATAATTATTCTGTCTAATTTATAAGTCCGTCGTCACATGTTAAAGTACGTATTGCGTAATGTGTGGTGCGGCAGGCCGGGCCAGGTGACGAAGGCGGAGCGCATCACGAACAAGTTGTCTCAGTTCGCGGCGTACGCCATCCAGGGCGACTACCAGGGAGTCAAGGAGTTCGGCAGCGACCTGCGCAAACTGGGCCTGCCCGTCGAACACGCGCCGCAGGTCACATACACTCTCTTATACCTATATCAACATACCTAGGTACACACGAAAATATTAATTTAAAAAAAATTGTATCCTGGACCGCATACTAGGATTCCCTGTGATCCCCAGGCTCCCTAACAAACAGTAGGTACAAAAAAATACATAATGCTTAAATATATGTGTGTGAGAGTGTGCGCGCGTGTGTGTGTCTGTGGAACTCTGTTAGAAATAATGGACAATATTTTTGGATGAGGACTTTGATCTCGAAATCATTGTAGGGGAAAATTAATTATTATGACTGTATTTATGCTAGGTACACATCATAGATATCTTTAATATTTGTGTGGTATTCATTTTGTTAAAGATTCTACCAAACAGTTTTCTTTTACTTTTTACCTTATTAGAATTCGTCCCGTTATCCATGTGAGTAGTACTCTGGAGAAGTAGTGAGGGCACAACAATAACAATGTTGGTGCGCGCAGGTGTCGCAGCTGTTTAAGATCGGCTCCCTGACGTACGAGGACGTGAAGCAGTTCAGTTGTTGCGTGGAGGAGGCTCTGTTCCGGCTGGCCGCGCACAGAGACCGCGCGCTCACCTACAAGATGGAGGAGGTACCGCGCCGTCCACGCGTCGTACTCGTACTGTACTCTGTAGTGGCCCGGGCACTGGGCGTACTGACCGCGTGTCCCGCTGCAGGTGCAGGTCACGGCGGTGGACGAGCTGTACGTGGAGCAGGACGCGGAGGGCTCCGTGCTGAAGCAGATTGCGAGAGTGCGACTGTTCTTCCTCGGCTTCCTCAGCGGTGTGTACCGTGTACTGTGTTCTGGCAGACATGTACTATGTACTGAGTATATAACACATGGCGTACGAACACGTTGCAGGCATGCCGGACGTGGAGCTCGGGGTCAACGACCTGCGGCGGCAGGGCAAGGAGGTGGTGGGGCGGCACGACATCATCCCCGTCGTCACGGAGGAGTGGATCCGGGTCGAGGACGCGGAGTTCCACGCCTGCGTGCAGCCCGAGGAATTCACCAACACGCAGATCATCAAGTAACACCATTAACATAACTTCACGCCTTTTATCCCCGAAGGGATAGACAGAGGTGCACATTACGGCACTTAGTGCCACTGTACAATGTATCACCCACTTTTCACTATTTATGTTATGAGTGTCCCATATAATAGGGGGTGAGCCTATTGCCATATACCGGGCACATTTCCAGACAGATTGAGATTTTTTTTAAAACCCAATGCTATGCCCGACCCGGGAATCGAACCCGAGACCCCTTGCCCGGGTTATCCTGAATAGTGTTTCAGTATGCAATCATAAATTAAATGCTTAGGCAGTTGCTTTAGTTTGGAGAAGAATATCATTTTGACGAACCAAGTATTCACAGTAAACTTTTCACCGTACATTGACTGTACTGGAAAAAAAATATTTTCTGGACTTACCTACTGAAATTTATTCTAGACCCAAAGCGCCCATTCATCCAAAACCTCGTATTCACTAGGTAACACTTTGCTCGCGACATGACGTCATCATGTTCCTAAACATGTTGGAATCAGCGAGGATCTCTTGTTGAACCACATCGTCTGTCTACTCAACATTGACTCGCAGCATTCGTCGGCAATATTGTCGCTGGAGGAACTAATGTTATGGATCACATCTCACTAAAGAACATGATATGATGTTCAACACCATGTTGCATGGTAATGTGTACTAAAATTACTCTCCCGATTCACCGATTTCATAAAATAAAACTAAGAATTACTGCTGTGAACAATACTTTTTATTAACGAAAAGTGCACTGAATCCGGTATAGATCATAGCAATAGACATTAGACAGCTACGCAGGCCGACGCTAGACGAGCAGTAGTACAGTGGGTACGACGTACAGTCCGTGTGTGGCGCAGGTTCAAGCCCCCGGACGCGTGCTACATCGAGTTGATGCGGTTCCGCGTGCGGCCGCCCAAGAACCGCGAGCTGCCGCTGCAGCTCAAGGCCGTCTGGTGCGTCACCGGGAACAAGGTACTGCCACCGCTCGCAACACTGGTAATATGAATAAATATGTTTTATGAATATACCTAAACAAAGGTAGGTAGAATACATATTGCCGCGATTTATTCATGTCAGTTATACCTTTAAAGTTTTTTTTTAAATCTTTATTTATTTAGACGCTTTTCCCTTGCAAAGGTATGCCAGCTTCATCATACCCTAGTCTAACTTATTACTAGTTACATGTAATTATAATGATATATTTATTACTAACTTAACTTATTATTGTGTAAGCGCGGGGATAGTGCTGCTGCAACCACTTCATTCATAAATTCCGCTTCTTTTGAATTTGGTAAATATAATATTCTAATGAAAGCCCCGACATATATATTTTATTTATTTATTTAAGACTTAGTACAATAACAAATGTACAGGCGGACTTAATGCCTTGGGCATTGTCTCACAGTCGACCTTTAAGTGGTGCAGAGATGAAAGTGGCAGGTGACTAAGCAAACGTTGTAAATAAATAACTATATATAAATACTTAAGTACTTAGATACTTATATATACAGTCATACATATATATGTACACATACATACATCCATACATACATACATACATACATACATACATACCCAGGTAAAAACTAAATAACATAATAAGAGACAACTTATGTTTGAATCGAATCTGCCAGTTTTTTTTTGTAAATGCTCGCGAACCTTGGTTTTGAAAGATAAGCGACTGGTCGCCATCCTAATCTCCGTGGGTAGCGCATTCCATAGAATCACAGATTGTATGAAATATGAAGAATGAAGAAAATCAGAGCGATGACTAAGACATTGAAGATGACGATTGTTGGAAGATCGAAGATATTTATTGTGGTTTGGACTGGTGTATTGAAAGTAGGTGGATAGATAGCTAGGAGAAAAGGGGGAGTCAAGAAAGGAGTACAAAGTGGTTAGATCCCTTTGCTCCCTGCGTTGGCGTATGGGCAACCACTTTAATTGCAGCTGATGTGCAGAAACATGATCATATTTACGCAGGTTGAAAACGAATCGAATGCAGTAGTACAACTATATTTTAACTTGTAGCTCTGGCATTACTATCTCTCTCTTTTCTGTTTTTTTCGCGACCTGTAAGGACTGCCATGCAGGACCGAGCGTGTCAGCGTGTGTAACAGTTCTGTCGTACTCCTGGCCAGGTGGAGCTCCGCGCGGACGTGCTGGTGCCCGGGTTCGCGTCCCGCAAGCTGGGCCAGGTGCCGTGCGAGGACGTGGCCGTGCGGTTCCCCATCCCCGACTGCTGGATCTACCTGTTCCGCGTCGAGAAACACTTCCGATACGGTTCCGTCAAGTCTGCCCACAGGTACCTCGTACCTGTTACACTACCACGCTTATTATTAGTTTTTTATTTATCCGAACGCCTTAGATCTTCCTTGTCCTGCTGTGACTGATTCATTGACGTACTACTAAAAGGATTTTTGCGACATTCATGTATGATAGATAACGTACACTATTATAATATTTTATTAAAACTTAATGCACAACCAGGTGGAAATAATGTCACTGACTCACTCTGTAGTCTGGCAAAACCAACAGCTATTATAATAAGGTATTGCATTAAGCAACTTAAAGCCAATTTTTTATACTTAGATCACTCAAATAGAGAAAGTGACAGACAACTTAGGATCTATTCAACAATGACTTGCTTACTTTTTTACAATAACACATGTTTATTAATTATTAGTACTTATTATACATGAAATACTTACTTACTAGAACAAATATCAAATTCAGGCCCTTTTCGACCCCCCCCCCCTCCTTATGACTTCGTTGTGGATAAAATAAAAAGCTTGAATATGAAATAAAATCTTTCTTGGTCGTGTCTTTATGTTGGATGGTCCATTTGTAGAGGAAAGCTATCGGCTAAAACCTACACGCTACGATCGAACCGAGCCGTGGGTCAGACCGTGTCATGCCGCGGCCACATCGCGCAGTTGGTTGGTGCAGCAAGTACTCCACCGTGCTGTACGCCGTCTACTCTACCGAGTACCGACACGGCCGGGGAGTGGGAGAGAGAGTTTATTATTCCAAAATAGTATCATATTTCTTCAGTTAGGAAACTTTTCAAGTCATTCGATCGACAGGCGAACGGGCAAGATAAAAGGCATCGAACGGTTCTTGGGGGCCGTGGACACCTTGCAGGAATCTCTCATCGAGGTCACCTCCGGCCAGGCCAAGTACGAGCACCAACACCGCGCCATCGTCTGGCGCATGCCGCGACTCCCCAAGGAGGGGCAGGGTGAGTACTCGCTGTAGTACTGCTAAGCTATTTATTCTGTACTATGTCAATTCGAACTTTAGAAGTGAGCTCGATCGCATTCTCGCCTGTCACTGGTCGAGATTATTCTCACAACTGACATGGCGGATCGCGATCGAGTTCACTTCGATCTTTCGAATTGAAAGTTACATAATAGCCTGGCTGAGCTAGTCCGCGAGCTCCGAGTGACGGCCGTGTGGCTTGTACAGGGGCCTACACCACGCACAACTTGGTGTGTCGCATGGCGCTGACGTCGTACGACCAGGTGCCGGCCGAGCTGGCCAGCCACGCCTTCGTGGAGTTCACCATGCCCGCCACGCAGGTGTCGCACATGACGGTGCGCTCCGTGTCGCTGCAGGACCACGACGGGGACCCGCCCGAGAAATACGTGCGCTACCTGGCGCGCCACGAGTACATGTGAGTACTCGGGCTCCGGTCCACACTTGTAGCGAATCGATACGGTCGAGTGCATGAGTGGCGTGTTGCAGAGTGGGCATCGAGCGCACGTCGGGGCAGGCGGCGCCGGCGTACGCGCTGGCGACGGCCGGGCGCCACGCCGAGCCCGCGCCGCCGCCCGCCGCCGCGCCGCTGCCGCAGCCGCCGTCCTCCGACTCCGACTCCGACTAGGGCGCCTCGTGAGACGCTCGCCCTCCCGCTTAGGACAGCCTTAGGACACCTGGGACTCGACGAAACATATAGGACTATACCAGGACTCTCCTAAGTAGTGTGCTCCTGGTAATTGCTCACAAAGGAGCGGCAGATTGCTAAATATATTTGTAAAAGAGAGATGTATTCTCCCTCTTCGTGCATCCTTTGTAGGAGCGTGGAATTATACTTTTGAGCAGTTGGCGGTGCCATGTATGTATGAGCTGTATCACCGAGGTACAGTCAGCCGCCGCCCGCCGCGTAGCCTGACTTGATCTTAAATATTAAGTACCTATGTTTTATGTGTAAGCAGCGTTACATTTAATTAACCATTTCATCGTACATTCCAAATAATCATTTTCTCGATGTATAGCCAGTACTTATAATATCTATTTGCCGACGGGTAGCCGCAGTAGGTTAGGGTGAACTCTGACCACTACTGAGCAGTGGGCCGCCCTACTGAGACGGACGGCCGACAGCTGGCAGCTGACAGCTCGGTATATCATGTTCCATATCTATTGTCTATTGTATGTACATAATGTGATAAAGGTCGTAAACGACTGCGGATGAAACCCCACGGTCGTTGTGTAAGTAGACGTAGTGCGGCCGCGTGTGTTAGACATATTTAAGCAATATTATAATGTTGATTTTGGTTAGCCTTGTAACAATATGTAACCGTCGATGTTGCATTACTTTGCGTGACAAACATGTACCCGCGTACGGCGACAGCGACAGTGACGTGACAGTGACGTGACAGCGACAGTCGCCGACTGTACATACGATGTTGCGGTACTTAGTGGTGAGATTTACTTTGCGAGTGTACGAGTGTACTCACACATACACAGTGTAGTTAGCTGTTGTGCTGTTAGATTGTATAATAAATATATTGTTGCGATCTCCTGTGTAGCCTCACCGTTAGACTACTACTAACTGAATACAGACACAATAATTAATGATATTGTAGCCACACTATTTAGAGGGCATTGTAAAGATACAAATGATTATTTATGTATTTAACTATTTACTCGTAAATGCTAGTCGCGTTACACACAAATATAATAATATGATATATACTGTTATATGATATACAACTTACTTAACGTGTTGTAGGCGCTGTTTGACATCTGTTGTAAGTATATTAGTACCTGTCGACCTACATCGCAGACCCTATGTTCTGTTGTGAATAAAATAAAATAACATGAATACGTGTGTACAGTTTATTACAAAATTCACCCCCTCCCCCACACTCCCCCACACTCCCCCACACTCCCCCACAGCACAGACGGCGAGCACTTACCGCCAGCGACATGTGACGGTCCGACTGCCAAGTGCCACTGCACAGTGGTACAGTCTCACTGGTAGCCGCTGGCCGGGCAGTAGCCGCCGACGCAATGTTATAATAGTGGACAGGATGCCGGGTAAACCCGTACGATGCAACGATGCTATAAATATTATAGTAGGTATTGACTATTGCCATACGGCATACATTTTTACTCAACTCTACGGTTGGTGCGATGGCTGAGAAACCGGCTGCCGCGCAACATATAGCGTATTCGATTTCTGCACCGAGCTACAACCAAGCAACTCTGTGTGATCTACACATATCGTGTAGGTACTTCGTTTTGTACAATTGTAATTTGGCCAGGACTTGTGGGTGTCATGATTGTGTGTATCTATGTGTCATATAACACGGGTAGGTATTAGATAGGTACTTATTTTTTTTATTGCTAAATATAGAAAAATACGAAATTAAAGTAAAAAGCGATTAAAGTATATTTTTATGAGAAAGAGAGACAAACGCGCGACCGATCACCTGATGGCTAGCAATCCCGTAACACTAGAGGTTACGATTAGATGACGAAACATTCGACACATTCACTGGGACACACGCACCGCGGTAGTATGCAGTATCCAGCTGGCGGCAGTACAGTAGTACTAACTACCGGGTTCAGTAGAGTAAGACCCGTTTTCACCGACTTTACTTACATTTTAAGGAACCCCTTAAAGCTAAGATAGATGACATTTAACGACATTGTTTTGATTTTCATCAACCTAATAAGTGACACTTAATAGTACCTACACAGATAAGTAAGGGGATAGTTAAGGAGCTCCCTCGCGCTGACGTCTAGGGGTGCTCCGTGCTTGGTGAAAACGGCCACGCCGCCACGCGCGTATTTTTTTTTATTTTTGTATAAAACAATTTTGATTAAAGTCAAAGTTTGTTTGTACTGGCTAATCTCTGGCTGGACTGTTTTTTTTTAATTTTTTAAATTCAAGTCAAGATGATAACAAATTTTGCCCCGTACGGTACGTAATGTGTATTGTGTAGAAGACAGAGGGTCTGCTTCCGAGGGATTTGGGGAAACAACACAAACACCACTGTTACCTACCTACTTTTCTTTGTTTCACTTCCTTTTTCCCGCTAGAGACGCTAGTTGTACTCGACAACGTCACATAGTCACATTTGATGAGGAACATAGTGCGATCTATCTCGATATTAAGGCCATCTATCGAGCGACGCGACAACTTTGAATAATACTAATTATTTTATTATTAAATGTTGATCGCGCTATGATTCCGTTTCCACTCCGAACAGTACCTATGTACCTACATACCAGACATACAGTGATTTGTAATTAGAGCATAATCTCGTATGGGGTTATACTTATACAACTGAATATTTGCAATATTTTTCTCGAACACACTGATACTTAACCACAAATGAATAGAAGTTTTTAAAATATTTAACTTTTAGAGTTCATTTCAAAATAGTCCACACGGCAACTAAAGGGTCACCATACACGGACCGCTCTTGCAGACAGAGTCAACGGCTTGAAGCTGCCGTTGCAGTGAGCAATTTTAATGTTCATGAAAAATGATGTGCGATCAAGAGCGCAGGAGGGAGCACGACGCACGAGAGGAATCGACAGCTCGAGCAGTCAGCGTATGCCTGGCAACTACTTGGCCCTTGATTAAATGTCAACTGCCCGAGCAGTCCATGTACGTACGTACGAAGAAGTAGTTTACTATGCAGTCGCAGTTTGAAGTAGTCGATCCTGAATTCCTGACTGTTTCAATAAGTCCTTACAACAAAAAGAATGGCTGCCCCATTCATGGACGTGTTGTTCACGGATTTTGTTTTTTCAGTTTAGGAGCAGTCTTAAACTGCAAAAACAATTGAAACGCGCTTTCCTATTTTTTTTTTAGTAATAAGTCTTGTATTAACTATTTATAGACGTTATATTTACTAGTTCTAATTATCATATAATTTGTAAGTATAATAAATTATAAATATAATATAATTGAATATTCTTTTTTGTTGCATAGTCCATTTATCTGTATTCAAACATAAAACACATTACGACCGATGCAGCGGTGGAAGCGGCGGAACCGCGCGGAGTCTATCGGTATGGAAGTTGGGTTACGTGATTTAACGGACAGGTTATGGAACGAGACAAGACATGACTTCATTGAATCGAAGGACCAAATCATCGATCTAACAACAGTCGAATACTAAGAGTGGCAACTCGTTGCCAACAAGTCCCAAGTGGGCAATGGCACGGCACGCTTACGTAACAGCTACGTAAAGCGCATGCAACAGGATCGAGTGCGTAGCAGGAAGTCCGTGGAGGTCGGCAAAGGCCGGCACAAATCGTGGCCGGCCCGAGGCACCGAGTGCGAGCAGTGCAAGTTGTGCACCTCCGTACGGAAGTAGGGCGAGTAGAGCGCAGGCGCGCGGTTGGCGTGTGGGGCGCATGCGCGCGGGCCGCGTCGATGTGGGCGCGCGACTCGCACGTCCGCCCGCCACCGCCAGCCCAGGCCGCCGCCCGCGCGCCCCGGTGCCGCCCGAGCGGCCCGAGCCTCCGCTGGCTCTCTGTGTTCAGGCGACCTTGCGCTCTCCGCCCCTGTAAGACCACGGCGCCGCTGACTCGGTCATCAACCCACGAAGCAAATTTATTCGATGTACTTACTTTGAATGATTTATGTGAGCTTTGACAACTATGGATGGTAACAAATTCCCCTCAATTACCATGATTTGAATTCGCCAGAAAATCAGTTTTTAAATTACAATTTAACTATAATAAGAATAAATAATTTTGGTTCTAGTCTCGGGTGACATATATTTGATAATATAATTTATTTATTTTTGTAATTTGTACTTGATCGATTACATTATGAATGCGATAACCGAGTGATCGTGATTGTTGTTGAATGGCGGTTTGTGTGCAGCGACAGACAGCGGTGTCATGCGGCGGCCGTAGAGACAGCGAGGTCGCCGGCGGCCGCGGCCGATGGCGGCCAGCAGCGCGCCCGTGCGCCAGCTGCGCCGCGGGCCCGCTCCGATCGCCTCCTTCGATCACGACGTCTCTGACGAGGTGAGACCACCAGTATGTATCTTTCATGTTCTTCTTCTTCTTCTTTTTACTTGGTTAGTTGCTAGATCGATGATGTCTCGTATGTCTATGATTAGAAATAAATTTGAACGTACCTACTGTATCGGTTTTTATTAGTCTCCATACACAATTCACAATGACATCTCGTTCGTTTTACAGTCCAGTCCGGAGACAAAGCAAACATTTCGACTACCGGAGATTCGCGAGGATCCCGCCACCGCTGCCCGCGGTGCAAGCTCGGCGCTAGCACCCCCCGAGCAGCGCGCGCGCTCGCTATCGACGCCGGCCGTAAGTTCGGGCCTGCAGACGCCAGCCGCGCCGCGCATTGACATCTCACGCGCCTCCAGCTCCAGCCACCACGACTCGCGCGACAGCTCCCCGGAGCTGGCACTGTTTGCTGGCACTGGCAGCGAGGACACGCGTGGCCGCCTGGAGCTTGGTTTTCGTGAGGACGGCGCGCTAGAACTGCGCTCGTCCACCGAAGAACTGGCTTTCCTAGAAGGTGCGCCTGGCGAACCTCGCCCCGCCGCGCTACCGCAGCCCAACTCGCGTCGCCACTCACGCAAAGACAGTCAAGGATCGGAAGCAGCACTTTTGGCCGTGTCTGGTCGCACTAGTCGGCTGTCTAGTGTTGGATCACAGTGCTCGGCGCACTCCGCACTCTCGGCCTTTAGTCATCAAAGTCGACACTCAGTCGGCCGACTCTCGGTGGTTTCAGGAGTTTCACGATCTCCATCACCGCACAGGATGTTACTGGAAACTTCGTTTTGTGGACCAAAACCTATTGAAACCGATCCAGAAATCTGCGCAGCTGCCGTAGAAGAGCGTCTGTTGGAGATTGCGAAGATGACCGCGGTTTCGCCACCAGGTGTAGTGCCACACGTAATTGACGCTCGAGATCGACGCGAAGTGCGCACAGAAGCCACAGTGGAGCGGCCCGCCGCCCGTGCTCCGCCACCCTCCCCGCTACCCGCGCCCCCACCGGCGTCCACTCAGTCTACTACAGACTCAGCAACAATAGCATCAGTAGTACCTGTCACAGCAATAATTACACCAGTTACAAGTTCTGCAATAGTGACTATTCCTGCCCCTACTTTAATTTCTGCGCCAGATGATGATAAACTTCAAAAGGAATCACAAAATCGTGCGAAAGCCCAAGAAAGACGAGCGCGACCTCGTGTGCGGCGTGAACCGTCTGAACCCGAAGTTTATAAGAGCGCAAATCGTTCAAAAAATATCATTCGAATTAAACTGAAACCTGACGATGACTACGAGGAAGAAGAAGATAATACAGCACCAGGGGCGGCAGCAATCGAAGTGGAGATAAAAGCAGAAGTAGTTCAGAAGCCTGCCAGCTTGGAATTGGCAGCGCGTGGGGAGCGCGCGGTGCGCCCCACCGAGCTGGTGGGGCGTGGCGAGCAGCCGGCGCCCGCCTCGCCCACGCCGGGCTCCCGCCGTCTACCGCGCGACAGCCGCACTCCCTCCCCTGCTGGAGTTGCTGTCTCCCGAAAGTCTTCCTTTTGCTCTTTGTTCAAATCTCGTGAAACAATCGCTTCGCCCGATTCACCATCAGACGCACTTCGTCGCAAAAGAAGTCTAACAGAAGGTCGTTCCCGTAGTAAAAGCCGCGATCGTTCTGCGACCCCAACTTCTGCCGGAAAGATAAGAGGATCAGTGTTATCGCTATTTCGTACACCAAGGAAGAGTGCCGCGTCTCCTTCACCGAGTTCACGCGAAGGTTCTCCTATAGTTCAGCCACAAAAACAGATTCCAACAGTTACGCCACAGCTTGCTGAGCGTGTTCGGCAAGGCGATA